ATGATATCTGATCCGGCTCTATCCGCCCGATATCCACCATGGCAATGGACACCCGAGACCCTCAAACGATTCACATCGCAAGTAGCTGAACGATTAAAAGTGAGCGGCGAGTGGAGTCAACGTTCGACTCCGGAAATGCTTCTGGACGACCCTTCGGGCAAAAAAAGAAGAAGGAGTCAGAAATTGGGATTAGGAAGTGGGAATGATCTAGGTGCGTTGGACGGATGTAACGGGATGGGTGGTTATTTGTTGAACAGTTTGAAGACAAAGCAAACAACCATACAAATTCACACCAGTCTGAATGACTTGAGACAGGCTTTGAAAAATCTGATGACCAAAGTTACCAAAAAAGATGCACTGGCCAAAACCGCTCGTGAATGGCGTCTGGTGGTCATGACCGTGGACCGGATATTTTTTTGGTTCTCCCTGATTACCATAATTGCTAGTGGATTCTTCTTTCTATATCCTAGGGGACAAAAGCACAGCGTTCAAGAGGTTCTAGCCATGCATGAAGCACAATATGAGAGACGCAATATCGAAGTGGCCAAACAGTGTCTCATGCGCCGTCAACATATGTGATCGCTAAATTTGGTGCGATCTTCCAATCCGTTTTCAACTCCAAACACACACACATCAATGCTGTACTTCGATCTGTGTCGGGGTGGCCGGGCAAGAACATCTGGACGTTGCGCAAACTCTCGCGGGGTATTTGAATAAACTAGCGCATCAGATCTATTCCCCGCTGCACTCCGCGATATGAACTAACGGTGTGCTTATGAATTTCTACGTATGAATAACCAAGACCGTTTAATTTCGACAGTTCTAATGATTCCTTTGTACTAGTGTTGAAACTTGAAACACGGATGCTGCAAAAATGTCACCAACCCCATTTATTCTCATCCCTTCCAAACAAGTTCTTTATTTTTTCCCTTCTGTATCTGCGGGAATACGTAATTGTGACTGCTGTCCAACCAAACACTTTCTGTCCCTAGCCGCTGAAGGTGGAGTAGTAGTTTGAAATCCTTTTTTTTCTTTCATAGATTTGTGAATTACACACTAGTACGCTTTTGCCCAAACTCTTATAACCCGCAACTGGTTCTCCGGCAAACGAGTTTTGTAAATATTACACCTTTAGTCTTCAATTCTGACGAGCTAGTTGGGTAGAGCGATAAGCAACGAGTTGACTAATAATATAACTAATAAAATATAACATATAATACACATATAATATAAGAATACATATTATATAATATAATTTATAATGTTTAACACTATATAATATGATAATGTAATATATATAACATACATATGTAACAATAACTGCTAAACAACATTTTAGGCATATTTTTAGTGACTTGAGACCAACAGTGTAACATGCTCGAGAGTGTCACCATCTTTGGTCTGCCTGTTCCGCATGTATGCTTTCACATGATTGCAAGCATTGGTTGCTTGGAGCATTCGCTCGTGCATCCTTCTCCTTTGTAGTATAGAACCCGCCAGGATCTTTGATATCCTGAGACCACTCCTTCAGCTAAGTATTTTATCTTTGTTTAAGTCTCTACCACCTCCGGTGAAGTACTCCTCACTTTAAGCGGTGCGTGAGTTCAAAGCTACACCTTTCGCTTGCTAAGCATTTCCGATTTCAGATACTCTCAAGCACAATCAGGCTAAACTCCGGTGCTGCCGGGGAACAATATGTTTTCTCTCGACTAACCAGTGGTTCTTCCTGATTCATACTGGGCAATCGAGAAACACAGGATATTTAGAAATCGGATCGTTATTGCGCATCTCGATATCACAAGTCCCCCTTCTCTAAATGTTTTGTGTTGACCGCTTGACAATTTAGTTCTTAAAGGATGCCAAATCTCTCAGAGATGCGTCCATTGATTTGCCGTTCAGAAACTCATGGATGCATTGTTGAGACGAATAAAACGCGGTTCACTGGGTGGGTTTTGGTGGATTCACCTACCCAAGGGCTAGCAAGGATGATAAAATTTGCAGGTCACCAGAACACCCCGATTTCAATTTCGACCTAATTACGGTTTTGTGTGTTGAAGGCACTTTCACGCCGGGACAACGGCCCAAAAACTGCTAGTTAGTAACTCATCCGTGATGGAATCCGTCATGCTCCCGTCCGTTTGCTTATGGTGTTAAATCGTGGACTGTGAGTTAATGAGGATTCATGAAGCTAACGCGTGTAAGAGTGAATAAAAACAAACATGAACTTTGACATCAAAATCAAATTATTAGTTTTCTGATTCGAGATGTAAACTTCCGACATCGTCTGTTTCATATGGAGCTGGCTTTTATTTGATAGAGCGCGTCGCAGACCTCGATGGACGATCGATCAATCCGATCGGTAAGCAAATAACGGCTGAACAAATCGTTGCGATCAAAGACAGGTGTTTGAGTCTTTCACTCCCGTCTGCTGAAAAGTGCACGGGCCGAACTTTGCACTCGCTAAAACAGTACAAATCTTACAAATCTCACCATGCAAAAACTGTGCCAATGACCCAAACGCAAATTCCACTGAAACAGGGTGAATTTGAAGAGAAATGAAAGAGATGCATCTTTGTAGTATTTCAAGTATGCACGGATTACGAATCATTGATTAACAATCACGGAGGTCAGATAAGCATTGGATGGCACTGGCACTTGCATGATGGTATCCGGCTTTTACCGTACAATCGACTACTCTACAGCAGCCCCTCGCTAGAAAGTGTGAAACAACTTTCGGTAATGGCAAGATAAATGTGGTGCTGTCAATTTTAGGAGAAAATATCGCTTGGGGGAGCGTTTTGTATTGATCTACTCATTCAAGTTGGTCGGGAACATCAAATCACGTACCAGAAGCCATTTCACTCGACGCTGGTGATTAGCAACAGGACGGGTTCAGTTTCCAACCCGTCATGCGTAATTGAGGATTATCAAGACATGGTTACATAACCGTGGCATACTTATCAGAAACATCAAGGTTCAAATATCAAGTAGCTATTTAGCTTCTCGCTCAGGTAGCTAAACTACCGTCTTACTACCATCTTACTACCACCTTACTACCATCTTACTTAAGGACCCTTCTCCACCGGACACAATCAAGTGTACCGTCAAGGTTTAGCATTTATCTCCATTAATTGGCGATCGCTATCTTCCAGGGAATGCTTCTCAATTAGATATAGCAACTTGGACATTTCCAGGAATCAAGTTTTGCTTTAACTATTAGCGTTCTTTTAATGAGCTTGGAAGGCGTGCACCGACACAATTCCCCAAGGTGAGCTATGTATCGCACGCTTTCGTTGCATTGATCAGATCTACTTTCAGGTTTCCGCTGCCATTGCTTAAATAACGGCCTAGGCCTAGCCCAACCTACTTCCAACCTTTCGGAAGATTCAGAATATATCGTTTTTAATAAACCCAATCTTTGGTTATGTTTCCTTTTGGGACGGATATTCAAAACGAACGTGGGCAAACATTAGTGACAGGTTTTGACAAATATCAGTAAACCTTTAAGTTGGTGATGAAAACGCTCGACTAAACTATCAGATGCTGGATGGTAGGTTGTGGTTCGAATGCGTTCCGTACCCATCATGCGCGTTAATGAGGAGTAAAGATCGGACTCAAGTTGTTGTCCTCTGTCGGTAGTAACCGTAGAGAGACAACCGCCTAAAGCTACTCATCGTTCCACAAATTGTCGAGCCACTGTTTCGGCCGTGACGGTAGAGATGGGAATAGCTTCGGGCCATCTTGTGAAACGGTCAGCGCACGTAGGTATATGCGTATACCCCTGTAACGGTGGTAAAGGTCCAACAATGTCAATGTGCACATGACTGAATTGAGCGTCAGGCGTAGCGAAAGTGCCTATAATTGAAAATACGTGCCTGTGGATCTAAGCTCATGGGCATTGGAGACACTTTCACCCACATACGAACATCTTTATTCATGGACGGCCAGACGTATCGTGTAGCAATTAGGCGTAATGTGGCTGCGATACCTGGGTGAGATAGCCTACGTAAGGTATCAAATACGAGACGCTGATAAAAAGAACGTACCATTGGGTGAGGGATGCCTGTTGAGGTGCCGCAGAGGCTAGTGCCAGACGTCGTCGCTAGAGGTACTGCTTGAAATTGTAACGAGAGTGAACGGGCTACCTCTTGGCAAGAGGTATCGTCTGCCTGTGCTGCAGCCATGCCAGAGAAATCTAGTACAGTGGGCGTTATCGCATTATTGCTAACGCGTGATAACGCGTCAGCGACACAGTTGGACTTACCCTGCACATGTTGAAGGTCAGTCGTGAACTGTAAAACCTCGTCTAAATGTCTGGTTTCTCGTGTAGAATAATGATCAGACTTGGTTTGCAAAGCATACGTTAGAGGCTTATGGCTTATGGCATGCCGAAAATGATTAATTTCACTGTAAGCAGTTAGCCGTTCCCGACCAAAAGTGCTATATCTCGTTTCTGTGGGATAGAGGCGTCCAGAATAAAACTCGAGAGGCTGCCAGATCCTAGAAGCGTGTTGTTGCAAGACCGCTCCGATGGCATAATCGGAGGTATAAACCGCGTGGCTGATTGATCGGGGTGCATAGGGAGCGTCGTACGTGCTATACATTATTTTACCTTTTGGAACGCTACTCGTGCGGAATACGTAAGTACGAGTTTACGTGGATTGCCACGAAGTAGATCCGTCAATAGTCGTTGCCGTTCAGCAGTGTGAGGAATGAACCTCCGGTAGAAGCTTACCAGTCCCAAGAATGCTATGAGGTCTTTGAGGGAAGATGGTAAGGTGTAGTCTCTTATGGCATGAACCTTATCCTCAGATGGCTGAATACCTTCTCGTGTGATCTTGTGGCCAAGGAAAATAAGTTCCGATCGACCAAGTTCACACTTATTAGGGTTGACTACTATTTGATGGTCGGAAGAACGTTGGAACACCAATGCCAAATGATGATAATGTTCGTCTACAGTGGATGATGCTATTATGTGGTGAGTGCTCATGAACTATGAACTATTTTGTTTTATTGAACGCGATACCCTTGTATATTCCCAATTTCCGCCTATTACAATTCCAATCCGCCTCTGAGTTGACTTCTGATTTCGTTTCGAGTCCTAGTTCTGGGTCGGACTATTAGCTCAGGTCAGGTCAGGTTGCACAGGACGGTAGAGGCGTTCGCCTATCGAGCGTCCAGATTCTTGCTGCAGTCGGAAACACGTCTTCCGGAGCTTCGACTTCTTGTCGCCCGTTTGACCACAGCCGATTTCTTCGTTTCGAACTGTCTCCTTTGGCGCGTCCGTACCTGCAAAGGGAGGTTATTTGAAAAAGAACAGCATAGACACCTACTGTCAGGTACCCTACTTGATCTCTGGATACAGGCTCGTCCAGACCCCATTTAGCTGCCTTTTGAACTCGTCGACTGTCCTACAGTCTATTAGTGAAGATGGTAGCTGATTCCACTCATCTATCACTCTACTAGTAAAGACGTTATACCTAAGGTTGAGTCGGCTCCTGGGCTTCATTAACTTCAAATGATGCCCCTGGTTGACTCGAGCGGTGCTCG